TGTAAAATTATTTTATTAAAGAATGTGATTGAAATAATATCAAATCACTGTTTAAGAATGTATTTTTTTTTTTTTTTAAATGTGGCTCAAACATGCCCTTTATTGCCTTGTATAGCAAACAAAATCTGGGATTATTTCCTTTGTATAATTTTCATATATAGCTATACACTATTCTATAAATTAAAGGCATTACAAAGGAGAAATTATCAAGCAAAATTGTCATGGTATCAAAGCCCTAGAATTACTTTCTCGTGGTGTGAATTGCAAGTTGGCTCTCTGTTCATAGTTACTGGAGGTCGGCATCTCAGGCACTCATCAGGCAGGCTGCAATCATCTCTTGGTTCATTGTAAGCTTCGATCAGAGGTCGCATCTTAGGCATCGTTGATTCTCTGTTCGTCTCGTCGGCATCATCTTCGTGTTATTATTTTGAGAGATTGGGTTTTCAGGGTTCCTCAATTACCACAGCACCTGTACCTGTGTGATCTTCGAATTTTAGGCGAGGCTCGCTGCTCAGTTCTTGTTGAAGCACATTCGTTTCCTCTCCTCTCCGTCTCGCGTCGTCGATTGGGGAATTGTTCTAATTGGGCTATGAGTGTATGGGCTGAGTAGTTAGGTTGGTTTTTAATTAGGCTGTGCGTATTTTGGTTTAAAATTGGGTAATCCCAATTCTAATGTGCTACAATACTTGTTGAATTCTAGTTTGCTTGGTAATAAGAATTCTGCTTCAATTTCGTCCATCTCTTTCGATTGTGCTTCATGTAAGTTTGTTAAAAGTAAGACTTAAGTTTTTTAAAAGTAAGACTTTATCATTCTCGTCTCATGGTTCTCATGCTCCGCATATTTTCAATATTGTTCATAGTGAAATATAGGGTCTTACACCTGTAGTATCTCATGCTCATTATAGATATTTGGTTACTTTTATCAATGACTATAGTCGCTTTAAATGGGTTTATTTTCTCCGAGCAAAAAGTAAGGTTTTCTCTGCCTTTCAGAAGGTTTTCTCTGCCTTTCAGGCCTTCCATGCTCTCATTGACAATCAATTTTCCTCCTCAATCAAAGTCTTAAAATCTGATTCGGGAGGTAAATATATGTTTAATGCGTTTCAATCGTTCTTATAGACAAAAAGCATTATTTCTCAGGGATCTTGCCCCTCTACCCCTCAACAAAACAAGGAGCAGAACGTAAGAATCGTCACCTTCTTGACATGGCTAGAGCTCTTCTGATTGAGTCTTTTGTTCCTTCTCGTTTTTGGTGTGAAACTTTGTCTACTGCCGTACATTTCATAAATCGATTGCCTTCTCCCACTCTCCATAATGTCTCTCCATTTTATAAGCTCTTTGGTCAACATCCTACATATTCTCATCTACGACCTTTTGAAAGTGTATGTTTTGTTCATTTACAATCACATGAAAGGACAAAACTCACATCGCAATCTGTTAAGTGTGCCTTTCTGGGATATTGTGGGACTCAAAAAGAATATGTCTGCTATGATCCTAAGGCAGAAGGCATTAGGATTTCTTGTAGTGTCCTTTTTTTGAAAAACAATCCCTTTTATCTCAGAGACTGTTGTCCCTACTCCTGTGTTCTCTGTCTTACCTGAGTTTCATACAGAATTCTCTCAGTACAAGCTTGGTCTTGTATACACTCGAAGGCCTAGCACTCCGATCACTGTTCCGTGTCATCTTGTCAGACTGTCCTTCCAAGCCTCCCGGATCCTCCAACTGTGACCTCAGACAATCTTTCACCGCCTCTCACTCTTTGTCGCACTTTTCGTGTTACCTACCCACTAGATAGGTATGGTTTTCTCTCCCACAACTCTATGTCTGCTACTCTTAACTCGATTGTCATTCCTTCCTCATATAGACAGTCTATAGAACAAGAGTGTTAGCAACGGACAATGAAAGCAGAACTTGAGGCCCTTGAAGCCAACCAGACTTGGGATACTGTACCATGTCCAGAGACTGTGAAACCCATTGAGAGTAAATGGGTATACTCAGTGAAACTTCGTTTTGATAGTTCTCTTAAGCACTATAAAGCTCGTTTGGTTGCCTTGGGTAATCGTCAGGAGTATGGAATTGACTATGATGAGACTTTTGCTCCTGCAGCTAAAATGACCACCGTTCACCTCTTGTTATCACTTGCCGCTTCTCAGTCTTTGCCTCTATATCAGATGGATAAAAAAAAAAAAATCTTAAATGGGGATCTTAATGAAGATATTTATATGAAACTTCCATGTAGTATGCCTCAGTTGACTTTGTATGTAAACTTAAACACTCTCTGTATAGTCTTAAGCAGGCTCCTCAAGCATGATTTTACAAGTTCCATCGTACGCTTTTGGATTTTTCCTTCATTCAGTCGGTATAACGCTTCTCTGTTCTTATATAAGAGTCCTATTGACATCGTTTTCTTGTTGGTTTATGTGAAATATATTATTATCTCTGGATCTTATCACACTCACATTCAAAAGCTTCAGTAGCACCTTCACTCAGTTTTTCATATGAAGGATCTTGATCATCTCACTTATTTTCTTAGCTTAGAAGTTCATACAGCATCGCATGGTATCTTCTTAAATCAACATAAGTATACTCAAGACATGATCAAGTTGGCTGATTTATCCGATGCCTCTTCAGTTAATACTCCATTGAAATTTAATGTTAAATATCGAAAAGACGAAGGCGATACTATTCTATATCTGAAGTTGGTGAGTAGTCTCATTTATCTTACTATCACATATCCGAATATTTCATTCACAGTTCGTACTGTTAGCAAATTTATGGACACCGCTCGTCATCTTCACTTTGTCGCTGTCCGTCGCATCATTCGTGATCTTATTGGGACTCCTCATTGTTGTTTTTCTTTCCTCACGGGACAGCTCTTGAGTTCACCGCTTATAGTGATGCTGACTAGACTGGTTGTCCTGATTCTCATCGATCTACTACTGTATGGTGTATTTTTTTGGGAAATGCTCTCATTTCTTGAAAATGTAAGAAATAGGACTCTGTCTCTAAGTCCTTTATTGAGATTGAATATCGTGCTATACCCGCTGCATGTTCTGAGGATGTGTGTCATTTTCGCAGAACTTGGTGTTTTATAAAAACATCCTACTTCCTTCTATGGTGACAATAATAGTGCTATTCAAATTGCGGTCAATCCTGTGTATCATGAACGCACCAAACATATTGAAGTTGACTTTCATTACATTCGAGACACCTATGAGTTTAAAGTTATCGATCTTCCTCGTGTTTCCACTACTCAACAAATTGCAGATATTTTCACCAAGTCTCTGACTCGCCTCTATCATAATTTTTTAGTGAGAAAATTGATACTTATGGACTTCCCATCATTAATTTGGGAGGGGGGTTTATTAGAGCTAATTAGGCAAATTAGTTTATATTAGTTTATTTTATTACCTTGTATAGCACAAAATCAGGGATTATTTCACTTAAGCACTATTCTATAAATTAAAGGTATTACAGAGGAGAAATTATCAAGCAAAATTGTCGTGCTACAGGAAAATGTTAGTGCTTAGAACAAATTAGGAAAGGTGAAGCAATACATTTCATTATGCATGCGGACTAATAATTTGAGAAATCTATTAGAATTGTTCTCCTGCATAAATATCGGAAGCAAAGGTCATGTATGTCATGAATAATAATAAATAAGACGACATTAACCCAAAAGCGTGATCCCATGACATATTCTGAAATCCTGTCAAAATGAGTTTCCAATTTCAGTTTAAGGGTTCATAACCTCTATTTTATTTTATTCAATGTTTATGCATAAGTAAAACTTACCAACTTCAGAGAAGGAATGTCTTCAGGAATCGACAACATTAGCTTCTCATTCCAAACTGGATTCAGGTTATTCTTTATGACACGCGTCTTCACTGACTGCATCGGATATACAGAAGTCATAGACAAACTTACACTACTTCTACACTTTCATAACATAAGGAAAGGATAAAACGAGTTAATAACAGAAGTATTTACTTGATTTCCCAGTGAGATCATGACATATGGGTCACTGGACATCATATCTCGCACAGCTAGGTTCGTGCCTCTCACTATGTTAACCTTAATCAATCCTACAAATTCGACCATACCTGCCTATACCACATACAAATATAGCAAGACTTATCCACCAATTTGAAACTGAAATTCTGTATACTAATGATATACTATAACATAATTTATGAATCGGTATAGTATATGTTTCTGTCAGAGCATAAAACTCCTAATTTTCTTAAACAAACAAGAAAATATTTTTTGAGCGAATCCATTTTCCTTCTACTATCGATGAAGAAATTGGGAGAAAGCAAAAATTGTCTTTGATGAATTTGGGGTGCATAGAAATAAAATCAGAGCATAGTGCTTCTGCCCATTTTCTATTTCAAATCTCCGATATGAAAACTCACATTTTGCAGAGAAAGCATTACCGTTGAGTTACTTTTCTTTGTTGTCTTGTGCTCAGATCTTCTCCAGCTATTACGAAATGCGTGCCCTAAAGCATGAATGCGGTGATGACCAGTTTGCTTCTCACAGTGTTTCTTCTCTGAGGATGAATGAGATTGACTTCCTGAAGAACTGCTATGTGATGATGATGGAGCTGGGAAGGGGCATGACATCTGTAAATCATGGTCCAAAAACTGTTGCATCTCATATTTTCTCCTATGTATCCAAAAGTTGCTCTGTGGTTCAGAATTCATATATCACTTGAAAAAGAATAGAAAAAATTGGGGAGTTCTTCTATACCTTATGAAGTCAGTGCGCTCCTCTATAGAGGAATCTGGTTCTGGTTTTCTATAATTATCTGGCATGTGAGCTTCATATTTCAAGTTTACAACAGTATTTCCACCCTTTTGCTTTAAAGCATTAACTTGCTCATTCGTCCATTCATCCAGTTTGACAGATAATACCTGCAAAATAGATATTATAAGTAAATACAATAGATGCATGCATAGTAGCAATCAAATCAACAAATTAAAAACAGGCAGGCTAACAATCAAATTAACATCCATTCTCCTGTTCATCATCTACTGTTGTTTCAAACAAACAATACTATCCACAGTGATTTAGCAATTAGAGAATACTTACAGAAATTGAGTATACTCATTTTATCTGATCATAGCCAATAAATATAAAAGTCTCATGATCTAGATTAGATTGAAATTTGAATAACAAATAGGTCTATTCAGGGGGCTAAAAGCTCGTAAATATTAGTGGACCAGGTACCACCTGAAAGCTATTAGATCTTTTAAGATTAAATCATTGAATGAACAAAAAATACTAGGAAAATTTTGCTCCCCCAGTCCACATTTTTAAAAGTTGGCTAGCTAGAATGAACATGAAATGGAGAAAATTTAAGAGGCTAAGCAAGGAAGTTATACATTGTTCTCTTGATAGGTCTAATCATACTAAAGCTTCCATCATTGGTCATAAAGACAAGCTTGAAATGATTCCAGACTTGTTTTTCCCCAACACCTATGAACTGATAATACTTGTGTAAATATAATGACTTTTTAAGAAGTGAGAACTTTATCCTGGTGGAAAAAGGTGTCCCTTTTCTCAAGACATCTACCATATATCTACTACTTGGATTATATATGCTAAGCAAGAGATCAATTGGCAGATTTAGAATTTAAACATTTTGAATTCCCTAAATGAGCTATATGAAGCTATTGCATGCTACACATTAGTCGAAGGACAAGAATGCATTTTAATTACACAATTGTGTTTCTAAAGCGTTACTATTAAAAATCCCTAAATAAGCTATATGGAGGTATTGCACACTACACATTAAGGGTGTGGTTTAGTCGTTTGTCATTGGTAAACCCTTTCTCATGCAAGAATAATGTTTCTGATGATAAAGGACTCTTGTTTCCTTCTCAGCTTTATTTTTGAAAAGCAAGGAATTTCCACGCATAACAGCTGCTTCTTAAGTAGTTCTTGGCTTTATTTGAGAGCAAGAAGTAGGATAGTTTCTCTTTCTGCCATTCTCAGGCCTGTCGAAGTGATTCTAATTGTCTCTATTTAGTGAAATAGAACCAAAGTTCAGGGGTTAAACTATTCTTTTTTAATTATGCATATTGTTTGCATCAAGGAATCCCAGTATTAAAGTTACTTATTATTTTGGCCTATGCTAAAAAATAAATCTATGAGATAAATTCTCAAGGGTAACTCCATAGAACATAATGTTGCATTCTGTTCTTTTCAGCCATGTCTCCTCCATGCAGTTAGACTGAATTATCATTTTATCTATTTTCAAATATTTTCTACAAGGAGGAGATTTGAAGCACCAGAGTGTCGTTTGACTTTTATTACTAATAATGTTCAACATATCCAGTTCTGGAAGCTTTTCTCTCTTCTTTAACACATTCAGTTAGTGATGCTTTTTGATCTTCCAATGAGATTTATGGAAATGTTTTATGTTCAACCAACTATTTAACACAGCTTACTTGAATGATCCAAGTCAGGTCTTTCCAAATATTTCCAGAGGTGAAATAATTGATTTAATAGCTCGACTGCATACTAATCAGTAAAAAGTGTAATGAAGAAAATAATTACCAGTACAATGATCTATTTTACTGCCTATAAAAGGAAAAATGAGAGAGTCACAAGAGCCCTCTTATCACAACCCCCACCCACTCACACAAACATCTGTTCAAAGACACTTTAGTTATCTCAGGATTCAGATTTTTGATCTCTCTCTTTAAAGGGAGATCATTTGAGGCTTCCTGATCTTACAACTATGATGGCTTTCAGAGAAGATTATTAGTTCACAAATAGATCAGCCAACATATAATCAATCAACTTGGATACATGCAAATGATACACATTTTTCTTTCAACATTTAGCATTGAGAGGCTTCCTTGGATGAATCAGAACAGGCATTTGCTGTTTAAAGTTAAAGCCTGCTCATACTTTATTCTAATTTTCAGTGTTTTCTTAAAAAAATTTCCAATGTTCATATATCATCTCTTTTAAGGAACCGTTAAACTAAAGATTCTGTCCAGTTTATTGATCAAGAATGGAAAAACATAAAATTCTTGAGTACCACACCTTCGATATATGCACCCCAAGGCTTCTATGAACTCCAGAGCACTTGATACAAATAAATGCTCCAAGGCTCAAGGATCTGTTCACAAAACTTAAAATATATGTAACATCGTGTCACTGGAAAATAAAAACAAATCAAGAAAGCGAAAACGAACACAAGCAAGCACCAAATGATTGATATAAATGCATCCAAAGTTACAGCATAGATTTCCAAGAGATTGGGTAACCAGGAAAGGTCACCGGAGTTTGAGTAATTATGTCTCTAAACATGTTGTCTTAAATGTAGCTGTTATCATAAGATGATATTACATAGTTGCAGGTCTTTCACTGCATATAGATGTATCTTGGTGCACATTATTTTCCAAGCAATTTAGACAGGTTATAACATGCTACAGAAATTGTAAACAATTTTAGAACGTTGTGAAGATGTGGGAGATAACAATTTTGTAACACACCATACCTTTTTAATAAGCCATAAATTTTTTTTATTTGGGCCTAAACGAGTAGGTTTGAAAGTTCGGGAACCAAATCACAAAAAGATTTATAGTTGAGGGACTTGTTCGCAATTCTTAAACCGCAGATTTTCTAGTTTCATAGACAACATCCCGCCTGCGACGTTGATGGATAAGAATAATCAGTTAAGAAACGCGTATTGAATACCAGTTGAGTATGGAAGGGAAGGAAATAGGGGTAAATAGGGGATTTTGTCTTACATATGAAGGAATTATGGCACAAGTCTCGGATAGTTTTGTACATTCATAGATTTTGGTTGGCACTCAATCACACAATTATGTACATATATAATTCTTGGCTCTCAATTGGTGCTTGATATATGATTCTTGCCTTTGATTAGTGCTTATGTTATGATTTAATTTAGCTTAGGCAACCTTGCATGCATGAATTATACATATGTACACAGATGATGCTAATGTAGTGATTAGAATATGATTTCTAATTTCTTTAGATAAAGATTTTTATTAGTTTTCTTATTTTAGTTTCCTTATATTAATAGAATTAGGAAATAATTTTGCCTATAAGTACAAAGGCATTGTACACTTTTTCATGACAAACAATTACAAATCAATAAAAGCAGGATTATTCCAATATAATTCCTATTACAAGCATTCTTAAACACTTCCACACCATATGTGACACTATTTTGTGAAATGAATTCCTCGTCTCTATTCCTTGCTTTTATAGAATGTTACAAGTTATTTAAGGATACAAAATATACATGGAAACCAGCTAAATATACAAGGAAACTACCTAATTTTTTGTAAGTAAATAATAAACATCTAATAATACATACTAATATCTCCCCTCATATTGATGTTGGTGAGTCCACAAGCATCAATTTATTGACGAGATAATTATGACGATTGTGAGTCAGAGATTTGATAAAGATATCTATTTGTTGAGAAGTGGAAACATGGGGAGGAGCGATGAACTTGGAATCATAAGCATCGTGAATATAATGGCAGTCCACTTCGATATGCTTAGTTCATTCATGGTACATAGGATTGGCCACAATCTGAATAGCACTAGTGTCGTCACCATGAAGAGACATAGGTTGTGACTGAGAGATACCAAGTTCTGCAAGAAAACCACACAACCTTGGAACATGCAGCCAACATAGCTCGATATTCAGCCTCAGTGAAGGACTTGGAAACATAGCCCTTTTTTTACATTTCCAAGAAATGAGGGTATCACCAATAGAAATACACCACCCAGTAGTAAATCAACAGGAATTAGGATAACCAACCCAGTCAGCATCACTATAAACTGTGAGCTCAAGAGACGACCTCAAGGGAAGAAGAGACCACAACGAGGAGTTCCAATAAGATAGCGAATAATGCGACGGACAGCTACCAAATGAAGATGACAAGGGGCGTCCATAAACTTGCTTAAGTATGAACTGCAAAGGAAATATCCGGATGTGTGCTAGTGAGATACATGAGACTACCTACCAACTTCCGATAAAGATTAGGATCTAGAAGAATATCTCTTTCGTCTCTTCGATATTTAACAGTAAGCTCCAATGGTGTATCAATTAAGGAGGCTTCGGATAGACGTACCTCTAAGCCAAGAAAATAAATTCACCAAGGTCTTTTATATGAAAAATCAAGTGAAGATGTTGCTCAAGTTTCTGAATAAGACTGTGATCAGACCCAGAGATAATAATATCATCTACATATGCTAACAAAAAGACAACGCCAGCAGTACTCATGTAAAAAAAGAGATGCATCAGATGACTCTGAATAAAGGAGAAATCCAAAAGAATGTGATAAAACTTGTCAAACCAAGTCCGAGAAGCCTGCTTGAGACCATACAAAGAGCGTTTTAGCTTGCATACAAAATCAACTGAGGGAAGAGGCATACCAGATGGAAATTTCATATAAATGTCCTGCTTGAGGTCTCCATTACGTTCTTCTCATCCATTTGATGTAAAGGTCATCACTGGGAAGCGGCAAGCCATATCAAGATCCAACATTGGCCATTTTTGCTACAGGAGCAAATGTCTCATCACAATCTATTCCATACTCCTAACGATTGCCTAAAGCAACTAATTGAGCCATATAGCGCTCAAGAGAACCATCAGAACGAAGTTTCACGGAACATACCCATTTACTCCAATGGATTTCACAGTTTGTGGACATGGCACAATATCCCAAGTCTGGTTAGTCTCAAGAGCCTCAAGTTCTGCTTTCATCGCCTATTGCCAATATTCATGTTCCATAGTTTATCTATAGAAGGAAGGAATAGAAACCGAATTAAGTGTAACAGACATAGAGCTATGGGAAAAAAAAAACCATACCTATCTGGTGGTCGAGAAACACAAGAAGTACGATGAAGAGGGACAGAAGATAGCAGATCATCAAGTGCAAGATCTAGCGTCGTAAGTGGAGGATCAGAGAGGCTTGGAAGGACGGTCATCTAAGAAAGAGAATCTAGATTAGTGAAAGATGCTGCTTGCCTATGAGTGTAAACAAGGCCCGACTTGTACCGAGATGGTTCTGAAGGAAAATCAGGCAAGACGAAGAACACAAGAGAGAAAATCGCGGTCTCTGAACTAAAGAATGATTGTTTTTCAAAAAAAAATATCATTACGAGAAATTCAAATTCGTTGTGGTGTAGGATCATAACAGACGTACCATTTTTTAGTCCCACCATATCCCAGAAAAGCACACTTAACATATTGAGGGGTGAGTTTTGTCCTTTCATGTGGTTGCAAATGAACAAAGCATACACATCCAAAGGGACGGAGATGAGAATATGTAGGATGGTGGCCAAATAATTAACAAAATGGATAAGCATTATTAAGAGTGGGAGAAGGTAATCGGTTTATGAGATGCACGGCAGTAGACAATGCTTCACAGCAAAAACGAGAGGGAATAGAAGACTCAATCAAAAGTGCTCAAACCATATCAAGATGATTACAGTTCTTACGTTTTGCCATCCTGTTTTGTTTAGGGATAGAAGGACAAGATCACTAGGAAATAATACCTATAGTTCGTAAGAAAAATTGAAGAGCATAAGACATATATTCACCTCCCGAATCAAATCTTAGGACTTTGATTGAGGAAGAAAATTGATTGTCAATGAGAGACGAAAAGGCTTGTAAAGCAAAGAAGACCATACTCTTTGAACGAAGAAAATAAATCCATGTAAATCAACTATAATTATCGATAAAAGTAACAAAGTATTTATAATGAGCATGAGATACCACGGGTGCAACACCCCATACATCACTATGAATAATATCAAAAATATGTAAAGAACGAGAACCATGAGACAGAAATGATAAAATTTTACTTTTAGCAAGTTTACATAAAACACAATTAAGAGAGATAACTGAACGAGCATTTTTATTACCAAGCAAACCCGAGTTTAACAAGTATTGTAGTACATTTGAATTGGGATGACCCAATTTCTTGTGCCAATCAAAACTATTTAAAGTGTCAGAATTATAAACAAAATAAAAAAATGGAACAGACTTTGGTGAAATAGGAAATAGATGTCCCTCCTTAGACCCCGTCACGATCATCCTTCCAGACACATAATCCTGCACATGACGGCTAGAAGAAGAAAAAGAGATAGTACAATTATTATCAACAAGTTGTCCAACAGATAAAAGATTGGTTGATAAATCAGGAGAGACAAACATTAGACAAATCTAGTGATATATCCCCCACGGCTGAGATAGGAAGGTGATACTATCGACAGTTTGTATATTGAAATGTCCAGTATATGGTCTAAGGTTACTAAACAACAGAGGATCGTGAGTCATATCGTTAAAGGCACCTGAGTCAAATAACCAAGAAGAACGAGTAAATGGTGGATTACCTGAAACACCTAAAGCAGACAAAGCAATGATGACCATTTGTTGAACCATCTCAAGAGTTATGAAAGTTTGGAAAGAGTTGGGAGAGGCTGAAACTTGAATGAGAACCATTGGTGGAGCAAAACTAGAGGCTATAGCAGCAACAACAACATAATTTGCTCCAATCTTGCGTGGAGGACGAGTAGGGCACTCCTTAATAACATGACCAGACTTCTTACAATAATTCAAAACTTTTCTGGGACATTGAAGAGCCATGTGACCAAACCCTTTACAACTATAACACTGCACACCAGATTATGCTTGTCTATTTTTTATTGGTGGATAGATAAGAGAGGGGGATAGATGAGAGCAAATTATCTAAAAAATAAAAATCACCCCTTCCTAAAGAAAATATTTTCCTTGTTTTAGAGAAAAATATGGTCAAGAGACCAAAAGTTGGAAAATATTTTTATAAAAAAATTGTCAATCAAACACCTCAAAAGTAAAAAATTTCGGTGGAAAAATGACATTTTCCATGAAAAGTAAAACTAATCAAACACTCTCTAATAGTTATTTTTCATGGCAGAAAATCATTTTACAAGCACTAATCAAACACTCTCTAATAGTTATTTTTCATGGCAGAAAATTATTTTACAAGCATTTATGTATATGCTATATGTGCACATTTATGTAAGAATTTAATTAGTTTAGCTTCAAATTTCATCCACCAATGCTAAGCCAAATTCTATGTGCCAATTTCCTCATATCAAGTAAAAATGTTTAGGTTATCATGTTTAATTGCCTAACATCATCTTTTAAGTTTACACTCATTTTTTTAAATGTGGAACAATGTGCATATCTTTAGAAAATGTTATTTAAATAAGGCGTGTTTAATTTTAGAAATTTCATTCTTAACTATAGAAATTCCTAACTTTAAAATTACATGATTACAGGAAGTTCTATTATCAAAAAATGATTACAGGAAGTTCTAATTTAGAAATTGAGAGTTTAAAGAAAGTTTTAAAAGTTAGAGATTTTACCCTTGTTTGAGCCCCTTTTTTGGGGATAATAAATTTTATGATAGTGATTTTTTTGAAAAATATGTATTTAAAAAGTAAGAAAAATATAGGTTACATGCAAAATTGTTTTATTTGAGGATGTGCAGTTGACAAATTAGTTGAGGGAAAATGAATTTTTCAAGAATGGGGCTCAAACATGGGCTACATGTTTCGTCAATCGTCATAGAAAATTCTAATTTTGTGATGGGCTTCCAATTTTGTAAATTTTTATTTTTGAAAACTTCTAAGAAAAGTCTATCTTCAAAAAAATTGAAGTATGAATGTTTTTATTTGTAATGTATATATATTGATGGAAAGTTTCCAAATTCAGAATGTATGTCTATTTATAGATCACTTCGTTTTGTTTATTTGAAGTCATAATGAAGTCAATGTGTAAATCTATTTTCTCTGCTCTAAAAATTCCTATGGCATTAGGAGACTCATCGAGGTTAACTAGGTAGCTCAAGCAAATTGCAATAGAGGTATAAGGACATGCTTACTTATTCTACACGTGTTATTTTGACTCAAACTCCTAGAAGATTATGAAGAGTTTAGTAGAAATGTATCGGAAAAAGAAGAAAAAGTAGATATTGTAAAACACATGGGCCTAGCAAGAAAATTATGTTCTAATTAAAACCATGTAGGATGAATCTGCAAGATATAATTCTATCTCAACTCTAAGCATTAAGCCAACTATCGTGCACAGCCAAATTGGCATCTAAATTTCACCAATTCGACTCACGGCCAAATGGACATTTAGTGATGATCGATGAACCATAAAAGTCGTTATGATGAGTCTAATATTAACCCAACTGAATTGGTGGATTAGATGTCGTTTCGAAAGACACCCTACCAAACAGACTTTTAAACGTCGACCGATTTACCCTTCGGTTGATTACAGACATCATCGTACATATGTACTATATGCAATAACAAGGCCATATACGAGTGAGATAGTACCAACACCAGATCCTATCAAAAGCAGCACGCGTTGATGTACTAAATAGATGGGATATTATATGCCATAGGTAAGATGAAGTGCCTGTAGAAAATGATTGAATGATCAATTTCTTTGACGTATATAAATTTCAAGGACGAAATTTATTTTAAGGGAGTAAATTGTAACACCCAATAAATGTTGATTTTGAATTTGGGCCTTAACGAGTAGGTTTGAAAGCATGGAAACCAAATTACAAAAAGAGTTATAGTTGACTGACTTGTTTGCAATTATTAAATTAAAGATTTTCCATATATAGTTTTATATCGAAAAACTCTCTTTCGTGTCAAATTTCTCTTCTTGAAGCTAAGTATCACCTAATGAGGCTTGGTTGTCAAAAAATAATATCCACGATAAGTTTTTTATAAGTGTGTGGAGGATAACATTTATACCCCTTTGAGTAGTGGAGTACCCCGAGAGAACGCAATTTAGAGCTGTAGGATCAAATTTTAGTGTTGGATAGATAAATCATTTTTCGCCACTGCATTCGATTCATTTCTAGATCTATAGGATGATCTAAAGAAACATCATCCTTAGTAACTTCGACAAAACATGTTACTTTAGTCTATCCCTCTTCTAACATGTTTTAATAGTGATCCCGTCACCATTGTAAATGAAGGCCTCAAATTTCACCTTCATTAGATATATGCAAGCACTTCAAGTAAAATCATCAATGCACGACATATATGGACAACCTAAAATACTGTGACTCTAGAGAGACCCAAAACATGAGGGTATTAATGTAAATGAAGACACATGAGGTGGGTTTTTTGAAGGATAAAGACGTTTAGCAAACTTATATGTTTCACAATGAAAGTTAATTACATTATGATACAAAGACGGAAAAGATTTCTTGAACAATTGGAAAGGGGTATGCTAAAGTCAAATGTTTTTTGAAATAACAGATTTAGTAGAAACCAACCATATGCTCTCGCTAACTCATACTGTATCAAGGTAGTAGTGGTTATCTTTCAACTCTACATGCCCAATCATCCTAGAAAATGCAACTAAACTTCTGCGTGTTCTATGGCTTCCCATGCAACTTCCAGCAAACAAATCTTGTGTGCCTTGGTGTCTAACAGTAATTTGACGAAAGCTTGTCTTAGATTGTAGCTTTCTTGTGCCCTAAGTTGGAGCGAAGTTCAGTGATAGTTAATGCTACGTGTTCTACCAAAGGACACCTAGAATTTTCTCCCACCAGTTCTTTACAGCTTTCCTCTCTTCGGAGGTGTGCAAAGGTACCATATAGGTTAGGAAAATAAACTGTTTCTACCACCTATCCACAAGGTTGATGATAATCAGGATTTAGGCCTATTAGGAATCAAAACACCTATTCCTTCTCTTGCACTTCTCTATATATGCATGGATCTAATCTTGTAAATAGGCTTCTATGAGAAGCTGATGTAATTTGCTATGCTCCAGGAGCCTTTCTTGATGTTACGAACTATTACTTTTGATCCCAAAAATCTGAGATGCAAAAACTCCCTTAGAGTAGGTTCTGCTATCTCCAATATATCCTTCGTATTGTACAGACGAATAAAAACTATTCCAGTCTCTGGCTGCATGGAATGGAGCAACCAGGACATCAACTTGGAATTTTCAGCCTCCCAAATATCATATTTAGGATCTTCAAAGGCAGGTAGATGTAATTAATTCGATCTTCAATTTACTCATTAGAAAGATTTTCACAAACACTTGTAATCCCTTATATCTTTGTCCATTCAGTTTGGATATGGCAATCTGGAAGTTGGGATTTCCAGAAAAAAATGGAAGGTCGTTGTAGGTTTGGTAGGTGGCCACCATTGTAGAATTACTATTTATTTCCGACATTCAAGAAATAATTAGAAATCTCAGAGGGAAAAATTAAAGCAGTGGCAGTGAATGCTGGAGAAAAAATACTAGTAACAATAAAAAACACAAATAAAAGCTGCAAAGACAAAACAAAAACAAAGGCCGGAAAAAGGGATTGGTAGAAACAAAGACTACAAAAAGCAAAACTTTCGGTAAAGAAGCTATTATACCATGAAGAATTACAAGATGCAAAACTCTGTCTCTCTCAAAAGAATAGGGATGGTTGACTAAATCTCTTAAATGAGAAAATAAATAAAACTCCAAATTTCTAGGATCACAAAATATTTTAGATTAGTTGTGTATCTTATGAAAATAGATACAGAAAAGGACATGGAACCAGTAAAGTCAAATCTGCCAACATGAATAAATAACACTAGTCTATCTTTGGAATGCACCAACAAATAATACAAAGAAGAAAGGAATCCAGTAAGTGATAGTGTCTAAGACTTACACCCATTTCGGATCTCGGGATCCACAATCTGCACAGGATCTATTACCGGGTTCAGTTAACAGACACTCTAGCCGCCCTTGAGGACCTGAATAGTTTAATGCACGGGTCATACCAAAAATAATGGGTTTAAAATTGCAACCTGAGTATAATCCATAGAGGGTTCCTCTCAGGAGAAAAATAACCCAAAACACTCATTATCATGCCCTTATCTGTCTTATAATGAAAATGATAATTATGAATATATTTAATACAAATTATTGGAATAAGTTGGGAAATTATCCATTCTGAATTTGGTACAATAATGAAATATTAGCAAGCAGAAGTTGCTCATGTGAGTGAAGATAAATAACCATTTCTCAAGCCATGACTTCTGTTATTATTAAAGCTTTTTTAAGTTTCATTCAAGAAACTATTTATAGTATAAGTTGCATTGCATCACACCAAGCATGTGGCAAATGATAGAGGGTGAGATAATTTTATTTAGACACCTGCTCCAAAATTTGAATCTTTTATGTGAGTAGGAAGTTCCTAGGATCCAAACTTAAGTAAAAAGAAAGAAATGCGAACACCATTATTATACACTGTTTACCAAAGTCAAAAAACGCTTAGTTAACTAAAACCGTCATAGGAATGGTTCTTGCTAAGCATGAGGAAAAAATTGGAAGTCTTGGTGGAAATGACTTGAGGCTCCTAAAACTTTTGCTGCAACAATTTTATATTTTATCATATTTATAGAAAGCATACCTGACGTCAGATGATATGTGAGAATTGTAGGAGAAAGGGAAGGAGGGAGAAGAAGAGAAAGGAGGGGAAAAGAGAGAAGAAGAGGGGAAAAGGAGAAGATAGAAATAAAGGAGAGATCAATTTATTTCATAATCAAAAGTTGTTTTATTACAATGCAAAAGAGCCCTTTATACAGGGTTTAAAATATTTTATCTTAAGAAATATCTAATAAAAGCAACTAAATTAAACCTAATTATATTTCCTAAAATACGACTTAAAATTGGAAACTAAACATAATAATATTCCTTCTAATATTGCATCAATACCAAATTGATTTTCTTCTGTAAGGTCCCGAATTTTATATTCTTAAGTTGGTTGATGGAAGCTCGGCCCATTTAAGGTTATGAAAGCCCAAATCATAAGTTCCCAGCAAATTTAACTACAAAGATTTAATGAATAACTATGTTTTCACAATGGTCATCTGCATAGTATTTCACATGGGTAACTCAGGTTCAAATCACCATGCAAATGTTTTTATAAAATTATTTTTGAGTTAAAAACTTCTCATTTTGTACATTAAGAACAATTATATCAATTTAATTGGATGGAACAATTGTTTTATAGTGATTGTTCATAGAGATAAGTTACAAATCATATGAATAGTTCATTTTCATCTATTTTTCATTATGTAAATGTTTTACAAAACTTTTTATAAGAATTATTTTTTTATGAACTTAAGACTTTTTAAATTCCTAATTAATACTCAGCTTATCAAGGTTAATAATAATATAACTCTTCCATTTAGTTTTTTACTAAAAAATGGAGGTTACAAGAAGAGAAAGTCACTTTTCCCAACACCTCTCCTCAAATCTAAATTGGCTCTTATTTTCTCTCAAAAATATCTTTTATATTAAGTTAAGCTTGAAAGAATAGCAATGGTGAGAAGGAGAAATGCTTTTACACATTTTGTTCCTTTATGTTTCAAGAAAATCAAGGTAGGTGGTGCTAAATATTTACCCTTTTTGTTCTTTATGTATATATATATGTATGTATGCTAATGATGTGTGTTAGAATTTTGAAGCTATGAATAAAGAAGTTTATGTATGGCCATAACCGATTTCTACGACTTCAAGGGATTCTTGGGAATCATGAATTTGCCAATATCCATCTACGTGAAATGTTAAATTCTTTCCTATCACTTATATATGTATATATGTTTATGACCAAAAGGTGCATCATGTATTCAAAGCTTCGGCCCCCTCTTCTAATAAAGTTATCTTTATCCTTCCAAAGACAAGCAAAGAAGAGACATTAATAGGGAGAAGAGTGTGTAGAAGTGGAGGTCGAACTTAAAAATAAAAAGTTAAAAGGACACCACACCTCTCCAAAGGACACTAGCACATTTAACAGAGCTAGCTAGTAAAAAAACCTGTGGCATCATGGTTTCACCAACATCCATTGTAAATTGAAACGAAAGTATAGATGAATTGTATAATACTTTCTCACACATTAATTACAATCTTTGAGCCTCAATATATAGCATAGGAAGAGAGAACAACAAGGTAACTTCCTATACATGAAAAAGAGAAAAAACTTACCTAATCTAAATAAGGCTATACAATCATACATAATCAAATCCTAATTATCCCATAATCTCGGAATATCTACACTCCCCCTCAAATTGGATCGTAAATGTTGATCAAATCCAACTTGCAAATAAATTCCTCAAAATTCCGTCGTAGCAATCCCTTGGTGAAGATATCTGCAATTTGTTTTCCTGTAGGCACATAGATCATGCATACGGTCCCTTCTTCAACCTTTTCTTTGATAAAATGTCTATCCACTTTCACATGTTTAGTTCTATCATGTTGAACTGGATTGAGGGAGATGTTGATCGCTGCTTTGTTATCACAGTAAAGTTTTATTGGAAGTTTCACCATCGTTTGTAATTCTTCCAATAACTTTTTTATCCAAAGTCCTTCTCATATTCCTTGTGCGACAGCTCTAAATTCGGCTTCAGCACTGCTTTTGGCTACCACATTTTGCTTCTTACTTCTCCAAGTTACCAAATTTCCTCATACAAAGGTACAATAGCCTGTAGTTGATCTTCTATCTTCTATTGAACTTGCCCAATCTACATCAATGAAGATTTCTATCTCTTTCTTTTCATTTTTCTTAAAGAAAAGTCCTTTTCCAGGTGTACTTTTAAGGTATCTGAAAATTTTGTATATTGCTTCTAAATGGACTTCCTTTGGAGAGTGCATATGTTGGCTAACCACGCTAACTGCAAATGCAATATCAAGTCTAGTGTGTGAGAGATAGATCAATTTGCCAACTAATCACTAGTATCTGTCCTTTTCAATTGATTCTCCTATGTTTTCTTCCTTTCTTCCGGCCTCTATTAGTGTGCACTTGGTTTACAGCCAAGCATGCCAGTTTCCGTTAGAAGGTCAAGAATGTACTTTCGTTGTGAAACACTAATGCCTTTCTTTGATCTGGCAACTTCCATTGCCAAAAAGTATCTCATCTGTCCCAAGTCTTTTACTTCGAACTCTGTGGCTAGGCTCTTTTTAAGCCTTTCTATTTCCATTATATTATCTCCAGTCAATATGATGTCATCAACGTAAACAATTAAGATTGTTTTCATCCCTATTTCAAATAATTGGTAGAACATTGTATGGTCTGACTGCCCTTGTTGATATCCTTGACTTCTCAATACTTTTGCGAATCTGTCGAACTATGCTCTTGGTGATTGTTTGAGACCGTACAAGGATTTTTTGAGTCACATGCCTTATTTTCTTCCTCGCTTTCATAGAAGCCTGGGGGTAATATCATAAAAACCTCTTCTTCTAATTCTCCATTCAAGAAGGCATTCCTGATGTCTAACTGTTGGAGAGGCCAATCCAAATTTGCTGCTAAGGATAAGATAAGTCGGATTGTATTCAATTTTGCTACAGAGGCCATGTTTCTGTGTAGTCAATGCCGTAGGTCTGTGTATATCCTTTTATAACAAGACGAGTCTTATACCGTTCTATTGTCCCATCAGATTTGTACTTCACATTAAAGACCCATTTGCACCCGACGGGTCTTTTCTCCCTTTGTAAGTTTACCACATCCCAAGTTTTGTTTTTTTCCGATGCTCGCATTTCTTTCAAAACTGCTTCTTTCCATTTGGGAGTAGCCATGGCCTCCTGAATATTCCAAAAATGCCAAAAAATGAAAGATATGGACGTTTTCCACAATAGACTTGAAAGGTAGGGACGTTTTGTGCCAATTACCCTTTAATTAATGGAAAAACTGACGGAATATGGACGGAAGGACGTCCAGCGCAAAGAAAGGTTGAAATGAGGGCAAAAATGCCAAAAAATGAAAGGTAGGGACGTTTTCCACAATAGACTTGAAAGGTAGGGACGTTTTGTGCCAATTACCCTTTTTTATAATAAGGGGTTCTTTCGAAAAACGTGACATCAATGCTAACAAATACTCGTCTTGTGGATGGATCATAGCATTTGTAGCCCTTTTGGGTAGATGAATATCCAATGAGCACACATTTAAGTGCACGAGGATCTAGTTTACTTCGGTGGTAAGGGTGTATTTAGATGAAAGCAGTACAACCGAATATGCGGAGTGGTAAGCTTGAATCAAGTCGGGAATTGGGGAAGAATTCCTAAAATACTTGGAGTGGTGATTTGAAGGAGAGAATGCGACTGGGCATTCTATTGATGAGATAGACCGAGGTTAAAATGGCATCTCCCCAAAAAAATTTTGGCATATTGGTGGTGAACGTTAAGGCACCAGCCACCTTAAGGAGGTATTTATTTTTCCGCTTAGCAATGTCATTTTGTTGTGGAGTATCGACACAGGAACTTTGATGAATTATTCCATGTTTTTGGAGATACTCTTTCAAGGTGGTATTGAAATATTCTGTACTATTATCAGTACGCAATATTTGAATTTGTGTCTGAAATTGTGTTTGAATCATTGAATGAAAATTTATGAATATAGATCTGACATCTGACTTTTCTTTTAGGAGATAAACCCAAAATATTCTAGTATGATCATCTATAAATGTTACGAACCATTTTTTGTGCGTTGAATTCGGAATTCGTGAAGGACCCCATAAATCACTGTGAATTAAGGTGAATGGTTTCAAAGATTTGTATGCAGATTTTGGAAAGAAGGTACGATGATGTTTTGCCAGTTCACAATGTTCACATTGAATATCAAATGTCTTTTTATTAGAAAACATGAAAAGAAATACATGACGTAAATACTGAAAATTGGGATGACCCATTCTACAATGTCATAACAAAAGGTCACTATCTCTAAGAACAAGAGCAGAATCACAATTTGCAATTTGATTATTCTTACTCACGTCTGCTTCCTCAAAGTAGTAAAGTCCCCCATATTCTTTAGCACTGTCAATCGTCTTCCCCGATGATAGGTCCTGAAAAATGCAATAAGACGGGAGAAATTTAGCTGAACAATTGGAATTTTTCATTAATTGGCTGACTGACAATAAGTTACAAGATAGGTTTGGAACGTGGAGAACGGACTCCAATGTTATAAAATTAGATATTTGAATACTCCCTTTTCCTGCTACAGGTGAGAGTGAGCCGTCTGCAATTTTAATTTTGATATTGCCAACAGAAGTGGAATATTTGGAGAAAAGGTGGAAGGAGCCCGTCATATGATCGGACGCACCTGAGTCAATAATCCAAGGAACTGTGGATTAAGTAGTTGTATTTAGTGCTTTCGAAGAATTACCTTTGTGAGCTAGAAAACTTGACGGACCCGATGATTGGAAACTTGAAAACATTTTATATAGTTGCTCCAATTGTTCAGGATTGAATACACCGCTCTGAGTAGAGGTATTCTTTTCTTCGATAGGATCAACAACCGCTTGGTAACCCCGATTTCTGTTATTTTGTCTTGGTTTCCAATCAGCTGGTTTTCCACGTAGTTCCCAACATGTATCTGCTTTGTGCCCCGGTTTGCGACAGTGATCGCACCAAGGACATCCCCTCTGTTGTTTTGGGCCGAACCCATTAGTGGGTGTCCCTTTGGAAATTAGGCCCAATTCGAAAGATCCAAGTCCTTTAGCTCCATTTAATGCTGGCCCTCCAAGTGAGTGGGCTGAACTAAACCCTTTAGTTAATTAGGTCGACCCACCAAGCCCACGTTCTATTGAACTAAACCCTTTAGTTAATTGGGTCAACCCACCAAGCCCACGTTCTGTTGATAATAACGTAGACCCAGTTTCCTCTTCCAGCCCCGTAGTCTTACCTTCTCGAAGCATTACTCCTCGTCGATTTTCTTCTCTGCGAACCTCAGCGAAAGCTTCGCGAAGTGACGGTAGAGGTCGCCGGCCAAGGATTCTTCCTCTCACATCATCTAATTCCCTATTAAGCCCGGCCAGGAACTCGTATACCCGTTCGTTTTCAATTTTCTTTCTGTACCGTACACTGTCAGCCGGACAGTCCCATTCTTCGTCAACATTGTGATCGAGTTCCTGCAAGAGTGAAGACATCTCCAGGTAGTAGTCTATCACGTCTCTCTCCCTTTGCTTCGTCTGCCAGAGTTTCGTTTTTATCTCAAAAATTTGTGAAGAATTTTCTGCGTCTAAATACATGTCACGAACGGCATCCCACACCTCCTTTGCTGTCGGTAGAAACAAGTAAGTCTTTCCAATCGGAGGTTTCATGGAATTAACCAGCCACGCAGTCACCATTGAATTTTTTGACCTCCATTTTTGCAAAAGTCCGATGTCGGTTGAGGCGGGCTTTTTCTTTTCTCCGGTAAGATAACCTAGCTTTCCTTTTCCATCGACGATGAGTTTTATTGACTGAGCCCATTCTCGATAATTTTTTCCGTTCAACTTTTCGACTGTAAGTTGAAAGGAGGAATTGTCGAGTCCACCAGAGCCCAAGGTGGAAAGGGATTCAAGTTCGCTGTTTTGTGTTTCTGAGGTTATCGACTCCTTGCTGTTGGCGGTGTTTTCTTCCATTGACTGCATGGTTAGGTAGAGACAGACCCTAGCTTTGATACCATGTAAATTGGAACGAAAGTATAGATGAATTGTATAATACTTTCTCACACATTAATTACAATCTTTGAGCCTCAATATATAGCATAGGAAGAGAGACCAACAAGGTAACTTCCTATACATGGAAAAGAGAAAAAACTTACCTAATCTAAATAAGGCTATACAACCATACATAATCAAATCCTAATTATCCCATGATCTCGGAATATCTACATCCATAACAAGAAAACTATTAATACCTCAAATCAGGAGAAGATGTTATAACCAAATACTTGTATTAGCCTTCTACCGGTTCCAAATTGACAAAGTAATAGCCATCAATACACATCTCCAAAAAGGATTTCACATCATTTTTCCTGTGCTATGTTCTTTCTAAGAAAGAGAATTGACTTTTCTGTTCTCAAAATTCAGTTGTCCCTTTCATGTGGCAAACCAGTAGATTGAATTTTCCTCCACAGGGATAGACTTTTATCTTTTGCCTCTTCAACACAAGCTATTTTCTTTCTTACTTCAGTCAAAGAATTGTCTTGTACTTTATTTTCCATTGAGAAGATTAAAGATGACAGTACAATATCTCAAAACTATTGCCATAAATAAATATATGAGAGACTCATTACTTCATTAGGATAAGGTCTTTATTGTATCCATAACTAAAGACCAACGTAGGATTGGCAAAAAAGAGACAAGGGGAACCAGAATAATTTCTTACTTGAAAATTGAGATTTTTTATATAATTTGTTGGAGTTGATATTGATGGGTTAACAGGAAAATAAATTTCCGTGTCTCCTCTTAGACTGAAAATATGAGCACTATAAGTTTAAGGGATATATTGAACTATTATATCACATATATTGAATATTCTCCATCATACCAGAAGCATAGAAAAACTCGAAATGGTCAGTGTTGCAGAAAACATAACAACCAGATGTAAAATCAAGCATTGAAGCTTACCGGAAGAAGAGTTCGGCCATTCTTTTTGACAGTGTTCCCAGTTTGCAGAGGTTTCCATACGTAAAAGATCATATGGACAAGAACCTGAGTCAATTAATTGTATGTGTTATGATAATTACACAACTAAGTAGTAGCAACTTATAACATTGTTCTAAGAATTTTGCCTAGCCACTGTCTTGTTTCTAAAGGAGCATAAGAAGGTACAAGCATCAATCCTCAAAGAGAGGTTTATGCACAGTAGCTGTCCAGAAAACACCAGTTACAATAACTTCTGCAAATAGATGTGATCAAAAAATGAGATCTCAAACATAACACTTCTCAATTACTGGCCCCTACAGTAAGAGAAACTAAAAGAAAAAAAGGAAACTCGAGATATCAAATGCATACAAAAGTGAATGCATTTGAACGAACTAAAACAAGATATGCTCCGGTGGAATCCATAAAAATGTCCAAATTGATTGGTAGAAATCCTTTTATATATATATCAATTTTGACAGGAAGCTAGCATCAATACCCTTTTGTGAATTGACCAAAAGCAAAATTAAAAGGTTTCACTTTACTATAGTCATTCTAGACTAATTATGAGGTAAATTCCATCGAATCCCATTTAAGAAATTTTATTATTACTTCAAACCTATGCATATTATAGTAATAAATTATCTACAGAAAACAATGAGCATAGCGTTAATAAAAGATGAAAATATACCTGAAGCATCATTAGTTTCTGCATTTCCTTGTTGTGTAGACATTTCAGCCTCCCAAGTTCCAACACAGGTCACAAAGCAGAGCTATAACCTTAATTAAATCATAATATGGCTTCTTTTATGCATTACTCAAGAAGGGTCAAATTCAAAATTGAAATTAATCAATTGCAAAATAAATATTTGCTCCAAAATTAAGTATAGAAATGAAAAAAACAACAGAATTGTCAACGAAGACCGAAGAAGAAAATGCATTCTTACATTATCAAAAACGCATTATAATGAAGAAAATTGATGATGAATTGAAATATCAATTTTTAATGATATATTGAAATAGGTGAAATTTGCAGAAAGAAACAAATAAGAAGATTGTTCCGAGAATCCGACTTTGGAGTTTTCAATTGTTGGGATAAATATAATATTTTTATAATCATCAACTTGAAGTGGCGAAAAAGGGTTACAAGTGCATGATTACCTTTATAATGGGGATTGGTGAGTGTGGAAAATTTGGAAAAGATTTCTGGTTAATATATGGATTTCTGCACAAATGGTTCGTCGACATGCATTTTGATTCCCATTTTCACGATTTCTACTTTTAAAAAATTATAGTTTTAAATTTTAAAAAACTTGTGGAATTCCTTTACAAATCACGTAATCACAAATGTGACTGTCTGATAAATCTTTAGTAACTCTTTTACTAATTAAATAGGTTCAATTACAATAAAATACAATTTATGATCACAATTACTAACTAGCAATAAATCACACAACAAAGATGCAAGGAAAGAGACCAAAATATCTATATTCGTTAATTCATTACTGTTGTAAATGGAAAGTCCATTAAAGTTTATTGGTGAATGACATTTGTACCCCTATAGTCCTAGAAATTATTACCATTGTATCCTTGATTCTTACCTATAAATATAGGGGTTTTGTTTTCAATAATACACACAAAAGGTTTATTGAGTTTTCTCTATTCTTTTTGAGTTTTCTCTATTCTCTTTTCCTCTCATTTTATAATATGTTATTAGCACGAAACTCTTAGAAGGTAGTAATTTTTTTTTCATAATCATCTATCACGTATATCAAAATTAATTTGATAATATTTGAATTTTACATATACATATATGTTGAATTTGCAATACGTGATCTCAACTTTCTCGATCATTATGTTTTCTTTATACCTCTCTTTGAATTAATTAATTTTTTTTTCCTTTACATCAATCCACGTGCATTTTTATGGAGATATATTTATATTAAATCAATTAATATACATTAATTCATGTTCCTATACCCTTCTTATATTTAGATTAGCCCTTTACGTTCTACACATGCTTATAATTTTATTTTATTTTATTTAATTGGTCAATGTTCTTTGTAAGCAAACTTCAATTCCAGATCTTTATTTTGGCTGATTTCATATATATATATATATATATATATATATATATATAATATACAATTAACAAATAACTGTAACCAACTCATCTTTTCTCTCAAATCCATTGGTTTCTACAAATTTCGTGCCTTAATTAGTTAATACTAATTCAATTCTTTTAATTGCACATAATTAGAATTTCGTGCCATAATATGTGACTAGGTTTCTACATGTCACCAATTTTTTCTGTGTTTCACTCGACTCACGTTATTAATTCAAAATAATATTTTACATGTGTTTGTATATTAATTAATTGTGAGCAATTGGATGTATTACCATTTTTTTATGTTTAGTTATGAAACATTATATTAAATTTATTTTTAATTGTTGTTGCTCCTGAAGTAGCACGACATTATAATTAATATTCCAGAAAAATATTAATCATAGATTTATTCGTTGTTGCTCCAGAAGTAGCACAACATTATAAGAATATTATTTGCTCCTGAAGAGCATAAATTATAACTCTCAATATTTCAGAAGAATATTGACATATTACACTTGAAGAAATGATAGCAAAATATAATGTGCTCCAGAAGTAACATATGTTTCGAAGAACATATTATTTCAAATTAGGGATAAAAGTGTTTATCCCTAGAGGAAAACACGTAATTCAAAATCATGTTGATATTGACTATTTGATTAACATGTGATGATTAATCATATTTTTCAAAACTAATTATATTTTTTTATTGTGTAGTTAAACAAATGGCAAACATTACGAAACTTGAATTTGCTGCACTTGACATATATGGTAAAAATTATCTGCTATGGTATTTTGGATGCTGATATCCATCTCGTCTCAAAGGGTCTGAAAGAGACAATAATTTTTTATTGTGTAGTTAAACAAATGGCAAACATTACGAAACTTGAATTTGCTGCACTTGACATATATGGTAAAAATTATCTGCCATGGTATTTTGGATGCTGATATCCATCTCGTCTCAAAGGGTCTGAAAGAGACAATAAAAGAAAGAAAGAAACAATGAATCCCTGCAGGATCGTGTGAAAGCATTCATTTTCCTCCGTCGCCATCTTCACGATGGATTAAAAATTGAATATCTCACTGAGAAAGATCCACAAGTTCTTTGAAAAAAGTTAACTAAAAGATTTGATCATCAGAGGACTATAGTCCTCCCCAAAGCCCGTTATAAATGGATGCACCTTCGTTTGCAAGACTTTAAAACGGTTAGTGAGTACAATTCTGAATTGTTCAGAATATGTTCAAAGTTGACTTTGTGTGGAGAAAAAATCAACCAAAAAGATATGTTGGAAAAAACTTTCTCCACCTTTCATGTCTCGAATGTGCTCCTGCAGCAACAATATCGTGAGCGTGGCTTCAAAAAGTACTCAGAACTTATATCTTGCCTACTAGTTGCTGAACAAAATAATGAATTGTTGATGAAAAATCGTGGATTACGTCCAACTGGTTCTGTACCATTGCCTAAAGCAAATGGTACTACATTGTCTGAAGCAAATACAATATCAAGACAAGGACGTGGACGCGGACGTGGACATAGAATAAATCATGGAAGAAATAATCAATAAAATTATCAACAACAAGGCAATAAATTCAAAATGCACAAAGCAAATGAGAGTGACAAATCTAAAAATGAGCATGAAGAAAGTTGTTTCAGATATGGAATAAAAGGGCATTGGGCACGTACGTGTCGTACTTCAAAACATCTTGTGGATCTCTACCAGAGATCAATCAAGGGAAAAGAAAAATTGGAGACTAATTTTGCTGATTATGATGGTCCAATTGATGTGATTCATTTGGATGTCTCCGATTTTTTTACTGATCTAAATGGAAATATTGACCATTTGGTTGGGAGTGGAGTGATAGAAGATATAGATTAATTTACTAGTATTTCTTTCGTTTTAAAAATTCAGTCTAAAATATGTTTTTACTTTTCCGTACAAAAATAAAAATAAAAAATAAAACTCTACTATACACCGTTTATTTCAAGATATTAAGTAATGTTTACTTTTTTAAATCTAAATTCAAGTTTTTTTTTAAAAAAAATTGTTTATTTTGTCATATTTATAGATTCATGATGGATAGTCAGGACAGCTGCTTAATTGATAGTGCAACTACACATACTATTTTTCAGGACAAAAAATACTTTTTGGACTTAATATTAGCTGAAAATAATGTCAACACGATATCGGGTGCATCGAATATCGTTGAAAGCTCCGGAAAAGCTTGTATTATTTTACCAAATAATACAAAATTATATATTGACGACGCACTTTATTCTAGCAAATCCAGAAGAAATTTGCTTAGTTTTAAATATATTCGCTGCAATGAATATCATATTGAGACGATGCAAGAAAATAATGTTGAATATCTTTGCATCACTTCTTTTGTATCTGACAAGAAGCAGATAAAAGAAAATTTTCATGTACTCTCGTCTGGCATGTATTTTACATTTATAAAAATGGTCGAATCAAATAATGTTACGAACCAGAAGTTCGTTGATTCAAAAAGTTTTATATTTTGGCATGATCAACTTGGACATCCAGAAGCCATAACGATGCGTCGAATAATAAACAACTCACATGGACATTTTTTAAAGAACCAGAAGATTCTTTTATCTAATGATTATCCATGTGTAGTTTGTTCGCAAGGCAAGTTAGTCACTAGACCTTCAACTACAAAGGTCAATATTGAATCTCCAACTTTCTTGAAAAGAATACATGGAGATATATGTGGGCCAATACACCCACCATGTGGACCATTTCATTAGTTTATGGTATTAATTGATTCTTCTACAAGATGGTCACATGTTTGCCTACTTTCAACTAGGAATGTAGCATTTGCTAGACTACTTGCTCAAATCATAAAATTGCGAGCACAATTCCCCGATTACTCAATCAAGACTATTCGTCTTGACAATGCTGGTGAATTTAAATCACAAGCATTTGATGATTATTGTATGTCAATTGAGATTGAAATTGAACATTCAGTTGCACATGTTCATATACAAAATGGTTTAGCGGAATCGTTTATTAAACGTCTACAACTTATTGCTAGACCATTACTTATGAAAACAAAACTCCCAACTTCTGTTTGGGGTCATGCCATATTACATGCTGTATCATTGGTTCGTATAAGACTAACTACCTATCATCAATATTCACCTTTGCAACTTGCATTTG